AAAGGCAGGTTTATGAAGCGTGAGAAAAACCATAAAGGCGTTCGGCATAAAGGCATAAAGGCATTCGGCATAAAGGCATTCGCTTTCTAAAGTTTCGCATTTTCACTCCTAACATTTTTCACTGCTTTCACCTAAACTTAAAACACGTATAACTTTTGATAAAAGCAATTTGCAAAAACGGAAAACAGATTCAGAATCAGCGTGAAATTCTGCGTCGAATCGTCTATGGTTTAGCTCATTTGCTCCCATTCTAGTGTTACTTTTCCCTTGTGAACTTTGCGATTACACTAACCGGTCTTTGATTCTTAAAAATTTCGAAATTTCCCGTCAAAACTCAAAAACGAATATGCAAAGCAGCCATTTCCCTTGTCATTTCCCTGTCTAATTCAAGGAATTTCCACTATTGTAAATTTTCTTTCCGAAAACCCGACCATTATCGACCCTTTTGAATACAAAAAAAAATGTAAAAAACGAGGTGATTCGGGGTCATTTCTTTTTTGTTCTTCTCTTTTCCTCTTTTTCTTCTTTTTCTTCTTTTTCTTTTCCATTTCTCGTTTTCCAACCATTTTCATTCACAGATTTACGAATTTTTCTCTAGTTTTTACCAGAGAAACCCTTGTGATTCAAGAAATTTTTGGCGAAAGAATTGAAACATCAAAACAAAATGGATAGATATTTCCGAAATTTTAATCTAAAACCTAATTTTTAGAGACAACAAATTGCCAACTCAATCCAACGTCTCTGGGATAACCTAGGTATGGGATAACCTAGGTATGGGATAACCTAGGTATGGGATAACCTAGGTATGGGATAATCTAGGTATGGGATAACCTAGGTATGGGGCAACCTAGGTATGGGGTAACCTAGGTATGGGGTAACCTAGGTATGGGGTAACCTAGGTATGGGATAACCTAGGTATGGGATAACCTAGGTATGGGATAACCTAGGTATGGGATAACCTAGGTATGGGATAACCTAGGTATGGGGTAACCTAGGTATGGGGTAACCTAGGTATGGGACAGTTGTCTGAACTTTGACGCTAATTTTCTCTATGTTTTTATCGGTAAATCTACAAAGAGGATATTATATTTCTTTACTCAAATTTCATGTAGATTCTAATAAAAGAAACCAGAAGTTGTTTGGGTTTCTATGCCTGGAGTTATGGACCATTTAACTGAATCGACTCTTCCAAATAGATAATCTAACTTTGACCAACGAACTTTTCAAGTTAAACTTTTGAAAAAGCTGAAGCGTTTCAAGGTGATTTTGGTGTCGAAAGTGTTTTCGGCTGGGTAAATTTTAAAACTAGTTTTAAAACTTTTTAAGAATTTTTAAATTTCTCTCTTATTCACGAAAGATTTCGCAAGATTTTCTTTAGAAAATACGCTTTTGAAAAGACTGAAAGCATTTAGACTATTGGATTTTCTGAAAAAAACTAAAGCATACTGTATACTACAGGGCCCTGTAATCGCGCACTTCTAAAAACCTAGGTTTCAGAGCTCGCGTTTCCATTGACCAAAACACAAAATTAAAAAACAGTTCCCGATTAACTTTTGCGTAGAATTCAGAAATTTGCTTTTTCAGCCTAGTTTATCCGCTAGATTTTTGTGAAAAAAATTATTTTGACTTTTCGGCGCAGAATATTGAAGAAATTTCATTGGAAAATAGAATTCCACAAAAATTCAATCCAGTATTCTGAAAGAGCGTGATAAGAGCTATTGAATGACATATAACAACGACACAACGACGCAACGACACAATGACAATGACACATTGAACACTTTATGGTTCGATGAAATATGAAATATGAAATTTCACTAACATCAAAGTCGCCGCCTTTAATTAATTTTGGATGATAGTTTTTGGATTATTTTATTTTTCCCGTTCATTTTTAGGCCTAACTTAAAATTTGTAGTTGTAGTGTTCGAATTTTTGATTTAAAGACGATTATTTTTGTTACCTATGTGCAGGGTGTTCCACAATTACTGATACCGGATAACTACCGTAATAATTCTAATAGAAGACCATGGTCTTCTAATTTTCAACCCCTTCCCCAAAGGGTCTTCTATTAGAGACTGGTCTTCTATTAGAGACTGGTCTTCTATTAGAGACTGGTCTTCTATTAGAGACTGGTCTTCTGTTAGAGACTGGTCTTCTATTAGAGACTGGTCTTCTATTAGAGACTGGTCTTCTATTAGAGACTGGTCTTCTATTAGAGACTGGTCTTCTAATAGAGACTGGTCTTCTATTAGAGACTGGTCTTCTATTAGAGACTGGTCTTCTATTAGAGACTGGTCTTCTATTAGAGACTGGTCTTCTATTAGAGACTGGTCTTCTATTAGAGACTGGTCTTCTATTAGAGACTGGTCTTCTATTAGAGACTGGTCTTCTATTAGAGACTGGTCTTCTATTAGAGACTGGTCTTCTATTAGAGACTGGTCTTCTATTAGAGACTGGTCTTCTATTAGAGACTGGTCTTCTATTAGAGACTGGTCTTCTGTTAGAGACTGGTCTTCTATTAGAGACTGGTCTTCTGTTAGAGACTGGTCTTCTGTTAGAGACTGGTCTTCTGTTAGAGACTGGTCTTCTGTTAGAGACTGGTCTTCTATTAGAGACTGGTCTTCTATTAGAGACTGGTCTTCTATTAGAGACTGGTCTTCTGTTAGAGACTGGTCTTCTGTTAGAGACTGGTCTTCTGTTAGAGACTGGTCTTCTATTAGAGACTGGTCTTCTAATAGAGACTGGTCTTCTAATAGAGACTGGTCTTCTAATAGAGACTGGTCTTCTAATAGAGACTGGTCTTCTAATAGAGACTGGTCTTCTATTTTTCAACCTCCCTTCAAAAGGGTCTTCTATTGGAGACTGGTCTTCTATTAGAGACTGGTCTTCTATTAGAATTATTACGGTAGCTTGAAAAACCTTTTTTTTAGTATAAAACTTGTGATGAAACTTTTATTCTTAACAAATTAGATAGTAAAGTAATGGAAAAACAACAATTATTGGATATGTCATCCTTGACACAGAGCTGAAGGCGCTTTGGAAAGTCGTCGGCACGCAAGTAAGGGAGATTCAATTCATCCCATGCTTTTTGAAGAGCCTTCTTCAAAGAATCAAGAGTTTTGTTCGGTTTTTGATAAGCCTTAGCTTCTAATACGGCCCAGACGCTGTAGTCGAGAGGATTTAGGTCAGACGACATTGGTGGCCATTCGTTGAATGCGATAAAGTCTGGAAAATTCTTGTCACACCAATCCTGAACTGAACGGGCGACGGGCCATTTTCGGAAAAAGAAGTAGGAAATAACGAAGATTAGGGGAGTTTTTTCGTCGTAAGTGATTCCAGCAAAAACCATCACTGAGGTCGGATGAAGAGAATGCGAAACTGATTTGTGGGGATTAGAAATGCCGTAAATTCGATCATTTTGCTTGTTCAACACTGGCTGGACCGTAAAAAATTTCTCATCGGTGAAAAGAATCCTTCCTGAGCCTGAGCTTGTCCAGGAAACCGAGCAAGAAGTTGAGCACAACGCTGTTCTCTCTTAATTTTTGCAGCATCGATAATTCCGTGACACTTGTTTTTCTTGAAAGCTTTGATTCCTAAGCGTTTTCGAACAATTCGATGCATCAGGAACTTTCATTTCACGAGCCATTTGACGAACAGATCTCTCCGGGTTGCGTCTTATTCTCCGCGGACGTTCTTGATAACAGTCTTAACAGCCGAAGTTACACGTCTTCCACGTCCCTTTCGATCCTGCTTTGTTCCAAGAGACTTAAAACGTTCGCATGTTCGCAAAACAAGTTGTTTTGTCACTCTCAGTCGTTGGCGGATCGACCATGCCGGATCAACCACGACGCGACGCTCCCATCGACTACCTCGACATGACGACGACGTCAATTGGAATGCGACGTCGTGCAAAAATGAACATTTGTGACAGAAATTCAAATTTAAGATGAAAACGCTTGAAAAATACAAATGATTTAAAAACGAAAAAGAAACGACGACGCGACGCTCCCATCGACTACCTCGACATGACGAAGACGTCAATTGGAATGCGACGTCGCGCGAAAATTAGCAATAAACAAGGGGTGGGACAAATGCGACCTTTTTTTGCGCACCTGGACATTTGCGCACCTTTTTTTTGCTGGAAAAGGCCTTAGGCAAGGCCGTAGAGCTTCAAAAATATTTCCATATAAGGGAATCGTATACGTAGATTCCGAATTTCGACAAATCAGACCTCGCTGACACGTCAAATTTGGGCTAAAAGGCAAAAACTGCCGAAAAGCGTTAAGTTGCGTAGTTTTTTGCCTTTTAGCCCAAATTTGACGGGTCAACGAGGTCTGATTTGTCGAAATTCGGAATCTACGCATACGATTCCCTTCTATGAAAACATTTCTTTCTCCTTCCTCTTTCTTCCTCTTTCTTTCTTTCTTTCTCCGTCAGTTTGTCCTTTTGTTTCTTCATAGCCTTCCCAAAGTTGATTTTCTTTTTTGTCTTTTTATTCCCCCGTTATGTGTCTTTTCTTCTTCTGTAAACCGTCTCAAAACCAATCTTTTCTTCCTTACATTCCCCTCCTTTTTGGAATGTTTTTATTATCCGAGACGGGTTTCATTCTCCCAATTCATTCATTTTCCTCTTCTTTCTTATTGAAATACCGTAGACTTCATTTTATGACAGTTTTATTTCCAATACAGTATTGAATTCCAATACAGATCATTGAACCTTAAAAGTTGAATATGTTACCGTAATCCTTTTTTTGCTTCATGATTACCACCTGTACTTTTGTACAGGGTGTACTTTTTGTTCAAATCTGTAAACGCATTTATTATTAGTAGTATTTCAGTCTTTTATTATTAATATTGTCTATCTAATCCACGAATTTCTAATAATATTGGAGTTGAAATACAAATTAAAACAAATTAAACTTTGCATAGGGATTAGTACCCTAGATTTCTCAGCACTGATCTTCGAAATGCTCGAGCCAAGGCCTGGTTGCAGTTTTGACGATGGGCTACTCTATAACAATAGGAGAAATCGACGAACCAAAGTGCGAGGTTTGGTTTGTTGAACTCACATTTATTCATTGATTTTTAGATTCTCCCAACTACAATGTTGAATCAGTCAGCCGATCATCTTTCCCTAATCTTTCCCTCAATGCTCGGTCCTCGTTTTCATTGGATTCCTTTCAATCGGTGCCTTTGCTGTTAACCAGTACTCACCCCCGTCAACATCACCACAACCGCCGATAAGAATGTTACAGGTAAAGTAAAGTTATTAGTTACAAATCAATTTTCAAACAGTAAAGCACTTGCGTATTCATTCCAAAAGGTTCATTATTTTCTTCTGGGCATAATTTTCATATTTCTGAGCAAGGGGAGTGACAGCTCTAATTTTGGATATAGTTGATTGAATTTAGACCATTTTGGTCCCACTTTTCTCGCAATTTTGCAGAAAAATCGATCCCCAAAGTTTGGGCATAGTGACGCATAAAGCATAAGGCAAAGGCATAAAGCATAAAGCCCTCTCTAGCGGCAAGATTGTGAGGGCATTTGATACCCGCCCCGTCCCTTTGCCATTGGCAATCTAACTGCGAGCTCAAATTTCTTGGTGTTGCGCTGTTCGATTTCAATATTCTTGGTATCATTAGATGCGTCAGGTCTTTCTCTGTCGATTGGTACAAAAACTATTTAAATTGAACAGCCCAACACCAAGATATTTGAGCTCAAAGTTGGATTGCCAATGGCAAAGGTGGCGGAACGCCTTTTATACGCCCCGCCCCTTTGCCATTGGCAATCTAGTTAGATTGCCTAGTTTGATCTAGTGATTTTGATCTAGTTAGAACAAAGTTGGATTGCCAATGGCAAGGGGGCCGGGCGCGTAAAAGGGGCGGGGTGTATAAAAGGCGCTCGCCCCTTTGCCATTAGCAATCTAATTTGAGCTCAGTACCCCGCTTGACTGTTCTGTAGACTGTGTGTCCAAAGCTACAGTACCCGGATGATGTCTAAGCCAGATCTGTCATTATCTGAAGGTTATCGATCTTTGATGGCGGGGCGCCTTTTATACGCGCCCGCCCCCTTTTGCCATTGGCAATCTAACATTGAACTCAAATATCTTGGTGTTGGGCTGTTCAATTTAAATAGTTTTTATACCAATCGACAGAGAAAGACTTGGCGCATCTAATGCTGTAAAGAATATTTAAATTGGACAGCTCATCACCAAGGTATTTGAGCTCAAAGTCAGATTGCCAATAGCAAAAGTCAAATGTCAAATGCCAAATTGGGCGCTGGAATGAATTTGGAAAGATTGGTTCTGGAAATCTATTAGCCCAGCTTGAGGAGGAGATTCAAAGTTGTAGTAATCCCGCAAAGATACATAAAGCAAGAACACATAAAACAAGAACTACAGTTCTACAAGTTGCGGTCATTCTATTGCTAGTTCGCTTTCAATCAATTTTCTCTTTTCTTGGAGAACGAAAATGTGTCAAACTCCAAAGGTGACACACGTATTTTTTGATTAGTTTCTGTCTCTTATTCTTGTCCTTGACTGGATCTAGAACTTTGTGCTTTTTGGATGTTCAATGCACTTCCAGTTCAATGTTCAATGATATGCAAATTTTAATGGAAAACAAAATCCACTTGCTTGTACTTGTAATCTACTTGTTTGAATACTAAAAACTAAGTAATTTTAAGAATAAGTAACAATAGACAACAAGATGTAATTGTAGAGGCAATTTGCATATCAAATACAATAAGTAATAGTTTTAACATTTTATTCACCCTCAATTGTGCGTGGTTGCCGGCTCTACTCCACTCGCGCTCATTTCGTCACGCGCAGATTTTGTAGTCGTACCCAAATGGCGCTGGTTGTGGCCGCCTATGAGGGGCTGTCGGGAGTAGGTATTGGGTTGGTGAATCGAAAACTGTGGACTATTGTCATATGTCACAGTTTGAGCACTTTCTTCTTTCAATTCACCAAACTCAATAGTATTATAAGTTCAAAATCTCAAAAGTTTACTATTATTTAACAATAAATCGTTCATTAGACTTAATCACATCAAAAAACGGATGTACTGATAAACCACTCTCAGTTTTAAGCTCTTGAAAGCTTGGAATACTGTAAATAAGGCACGGAAACAAAACCTTCTGTTTGAAAAGTCAAAACTCTGAAGGATTTCTGAAAAATAGACAGATTTAACCGGACGATTAGATTACGGTATTTA